CACACCCTTGGACACATGCCACATACCAGCCTGCTTCAAGGCCTTCATCATCATCCCTGTTCCCAAAAAGCCAAGGATCACACTGGTCGACTGGGAGGATTATGGTCCAGAGGAACAGTCATGGGTCCCTCGCGATGACATCCTGGATCCGGCTCTCCTCACTCTGTTTCACACTGACCATCCTGATCGTCCTGCTCCCAGGGGTTGTGGTAGACCTTGCCGCCATCTTTGTCCCTAGGGTTAGGCCGCCTCAGAGGAGGGGGGGGTACTGTCAGGATCCCACCAGCTTTACTCACGCCTCCCACTCGTTCACCTCCCTTTATATTCGACTCCTCTTCACACACTCTGGGTCTGGTCTGGTCTCTACATGACACTACAGACTCTCACGCAACCTACCCGCTACATACCTGAACCCCTTCCGTCTGCACCAAGGGAATCTCCTTCCGCATCCGTAACCTGAGACTCGGACTACCCTTCAGTTAAGTTCCATCCTGATTACTAACTGTCTGCCTACTCACCATATCTTCATCTGGTTCCGCAATCCTGTCAATGAACACTGTTGTACTATCCACCTGGCTGACTCCTGACTTTCTTGTAAATTACTTCAAGTACATTCACCTTCTGGACAAACATCCCTTGGTGTAAAGGTTGTCTTTATCTTTTAGTTCAGTCAGGTTCAGTCTCTTTGCCTCAATAGACATTATTGCTAGGGGAGAAAGTTGTTTGATTCTGACGGTATTTGTTCAGTCCTTTAAGGGACTGATGCGGTGCACTTGAAGTTCGCCACTTGACTTTTTTAGCTAGCAGATGGTAACTATGCCATCTGTCTGTAATACGTAAAGAAAAACAAAAGCAGAACAAGACTGTGTGCTCAGACACGCCGTTTTCAGGGATGCAGAGGTACTGGCCCAGCCTAACGTCGTGGTGAAAAGCGGTAAGGGAGGCTGCCAGTCTGGCTGCCTCCCTTACCGCTTTTCAACTGCGGCGTTATGTCAGATTAGAAAGACTAACATACGTGAAATGCAGGACCCAGACGATGGGATGTGAGTATGTGATAAAACTGTGTACAAACATTACATTGGTGACATGTAGAGACATTAATTGCATGTGCTCAAATTGAGCAAAAACATGGTCAGATCAACCAGGTTCATGAGGGATTGCGCAATCCGAGAGTAGTCGCCACCTTCCCTGTATACACAAATTCAGCGATATTGACTATAACAATCATTGGATTCATTGGAATCTAATAATTAATAATAATAATAATCTAATAACATGAACTTCACCTTTAATTCACCTTTATGATCTACAGGTCCTTGGTGCTAAGGGCGAACAGCTAGAAGACAAACATGTTATACTGGGAGTAGATCATGGCCATGGTTTGCCTTGATATAATGTGGCAGAGAAAAGATTCATAGTAAGAAAAGATTCATAATACTAGGCTCTAAGGCAGACCATCGGAAACAAAAGGTGTCCTTTAATGAATAGGTAGAGGTAAAGAGGATGGAAGTTACAGAACTAATTGTCCATATTGGTTGGGATCTCTGGCTTTCAGTCTACTCCCAATGTAGCACAGTTCCTCTGGCCTGTATTAATGCAGCTTGTCCCCAGTAGTTCAGAATTAGGCAACAACACATCATAACTTATACGAGTGGTTCCCACACTATTATTATAATATTATTACATGTCATTTATTATTATTATTATTATTACAGCCGAACCTTCCACTTTATAGTTCCAGAATAGTTCAGCCAGCGATCGAGAATAAATCACATTCATTTCGATAGTTGGCTGACACTGACCTCTTGTAACTTGAATATTATCATTTTTCTGTAGACATGGAATTATTTATTTAAGAGAGGAATGAAGTTACATAACATTTCTTTACTCTGCTGAGAGTAAATTCATGGTTCAAAGTGCAACTTCAAAGTCTTTGCTTGTTATTTTAACAAAGGTGTGGCTCTGCCAAGCCTCTTTCAACACGGCTGCAGCAGATTTAGCTTCGGCAACCGGATATGTGGAATCATCCATCAATATTAAAGACTTCCTTATCAGGTCCTTCTGCTTCTTTTTATAGCAGTTATAATATGCTAAACAGAAATTAGCACTGCTAATCCAACTTCCTAAACAGTATTTGTTCTTGCAGGATGTTAACCTTTCACTGTGACCCTGCACGGTTAGCAGTAATCGTGATCACAGCCACACTGAGCTAAATCAGACTGTACCAGTTGTTGGTGGTAGCAGTTGGTAATATCTGATCCCTGATCAGCTTGTTGAACACAGCCAGTTGGCCTTCAAATGCTTAGTGTCTTCCAACATGTCCCCTTAAATCAGTGGCTGTGGTTCTATAGTCCAAAAAGTTTTATATTTCTTGGTGGAAGAGGTCATGACAATTCCAAAGGATTTAGGAAAAGAGAATCCAAATGTACTTAAGTGAGTAGTAATTAATCATAATGGGACGTCAATATAATAAAGTGCTGCAGAGGGAACTGGGTACTACATTATTGCAGAAAAATCCTTATAGGGTCTTTAGTTCTGCCACAGTGCTGGCCATTGAGATATACTTGTAGCTTGTGTGTTTAAGACCTTCAAACATCAAAGTTTGCTGCATATCTTTCTGATTGAAATTCCACTGCTGTTTTAGAGAGGGCTCATCTGTCTATGGACCCTCATGTCGGTACACTGTGTCATGTCGGCACACCATGTTATTATGAATCTAATTCATGGTGCTGTCAGATTGCTGCTGAACTTCCCAGTTAATGCAATGTGTGTACAGAAACCTACAGGAGACAAAATTGGTATTCTTTATACTTCAATAAAAAATGTTTTCTGGGATGCTAAAGACTCAGAAATATGGATTTTATGTTCAATAAATTTTATGTTGGGAATTTTGAAATTACTACATCTCGAAATTGACCTTTTTTCTAAAGCTGTTACAAAAACACAATTCATAAATCATCCAAAGCAAGCATTGCTTTAAGTATCTTTATTGTTATGACATTTTAATTTAAACACTATGAATAATGCTTCAAACTTCTTGGTTTGAATGTGAAAGAAAGATCTATTGCTACAGCCCAATAATCTTTTAATTTGGGTTACAAAATATTGTCACCCACGCTACAACAACACCTACAAACAACAGTGTTACCCACAGCTGTTTCAGGTTCTCGGGCCTTTTCACAACCTAGGGGACCCACACCTGAACGTCAGTCCGTCAGTTGAGTTTATATCAAACCTCAGATCCATCACTTTGGTCCTTCAGGGCGTCTTTATCCCATTCGTTGTGATATCTCCTCCATACGATTTGTTTTACGTGTCCTTTGTCTCGTCTGGCTGCACGGTGAATATACTGAACTAGTGACGGAGTATAAATGAGGGAGAGGGACATATAATGTTGATTAGTCAAACCAGCATGGTGGTCCCAGAGCTCATCCTGGCTATAGAGAGGACTGGGTTGGTCTAGGGAAGTGTTTTGCTTTCTTTTCTGCAATTGCAGTTAATTTACTTCTGCAACTTGCAATCTACGTGAGAGGTAGAAGACAACAAGCCAGGCTGGCCAGTCTTGCTAATAAATCATGCAATGACAGGAAGCAAGTGTTAGATTTGCCTGCCTGCATGGTGTGTGTATGTGTGTTTGTGCTACTGAAGCTACGCTAACACTAATGCAGTATTTTTCAACCTTTTTTGCGTCAAGGCACACTTAAGACACAGAAAAAATCTCACGGCACACCAACAACCGGAAATGATATGAAAATCAATCCCAAATATAGTTTCAGCATGAGCATAATATATTCTAAGAAATCAGGGAAACACGTGTTCTATTTGTTGTGTTTTATTAAACTTAACATCATCCTAATGCCAAGATGGCACAGGCTTTATGCCCAGGTATCTCTTAATCTCACTTTTTTAAATTGTCACCTCAGCAAATCTGCCTATTAATTACGCTGCGTAGCGCCACCCATAGGCAGAGGGGAGTATTGAGCCAAATTCCTTGTATGTTTGACATATTTTGGCTAATAAATGTTTCCTGATTCCTGATTCCTGATACCACCAAGAGCGCGACGACCCACACACACAAACACACAAGTTGGCTCTTTTTTTTTTCACCAATGAAGTGACAGTATGTAAAAAATGATTTTTTTTTTCACGGCACACCTGACAGCCTCTCGCGGCACACCGAAAAACACTGCACTAATGAACTAAATTAAGCTGTTTCTCCGAGTCGAGTGACCTTGATTGAGTTGAAAAGTCGTTAGTGTTGAGGTCGCATTTCAAAGAACGGGCTTGGTCGCAAAGGGGTTAACTCTAAAACTCGACCCTGAACCAACAAGTGTTAGCCTAAACCTAACCAACTTATGTGAATTGATGCAAAGGCTCAAACATTTAAAATATATAAGTTGCATTCGTATGCGGTTTTAGGTTTGAGTCTGCTTTCTATTTAACCTTCTGGGACTATTTAATCTTTGAACAGTCTGTAAGAGAAGAGAAGTTGTCTATGGATGTTACAAATCATTGAAAGAGTTATGATCAGCTGATCTGATGATGACCCAGCAGTGAATCATTTTGAGAGTAACAGTTCCACAATAGCACAGCAGGTGTACACACACACGTGTGCACACACAGGGTGCATTGAAGCAGGAACAAGTGGAATGGGGATTTTTAGGATTCCATTTTAGTCAGTTCATTGGTGAAGAAGTGTCTTCTTTGTGTAGAGGTTAAGGTTACTGCACTGTACTTGTTTAATGTTTTTCAAGTCTTCTGACCATTACACTACACCACATGCTAACATGCCAACCTGGATCCCTTTTCCAACTGGGTCTCATATTTTGATGAAGGACAGTGTCTTGACAGGACAGTGAACACAGACATCTCAATCTCTACTCTCTGATAAAGACACAACATCTAAGACTCATACGCACACTCATACACAAAAAAAGATACACACACATACCCACACACATAAACAGTCAGTTATGGTAAATATAATGATTCACACTTACCTGCTTCTGATGTTAATTTAATGAATAATTCCAGAAAACATCAGTCTCTACTTATTGTCTGTCTGTCTGACTGACGGTCTTTTTCTCTGTCTTCCCCCTGTCTGTGTCTCACTCTAGCTGTCTGTCTGGTACCTTCTGGCCTCGCCTTGCTTTGCCTCTCTGACTGAAACTTGAGAGGTCAGGTACTGTGTCATCTCTAACACACACAAACACACGCGCACAAATACACACACACACACACACACACACACACACACACACACAGACACAGGGTCACATGTTCATTAGATCCAATCATACATTTTCAATTATAGTAATTAGTTCATTTTGAAAATACATTTTCCAAATATTGAATAGTAATGTAAAATGAATGAATTGAAGAATAACTTACCTATATTAAATTCAGACTATAATTAATACAAATAAATATGTAATCAACTCTTCAAAGGTATAATTCAGCAGAATTTGGAGTATAGCTCAAAGAGAATAGGAAATGGTTAGATTTGGCATGGGGCATGGCCTAAGGCCAATACGGGCACTGGAACAAGAGGACCTGGTTCTTGTTAAAGACTTCTTCAGCATTGTGTCATCATTCTGATTTGAATGTGCTTTCATCAGTTTTGAAAACAGTGTGTTACCGTATGAAAAATATCCTGCAAATGTACAGTTTTTTTGCAGTTTGTGTTGTATGAATGACAAAAGTGTTTGTGGATTTTGAAAAATGTGGTGCTTGAATGTACTTTGTCTGAAAACAATGAAAGATTATTCACAGTTTGGTCCGTATACACTTGTGTGTCGCTGAATGTGTGAAGAGTTTTGAAAATGTGGTTAGAGTATTGAACAATGCTTGTTAGCAATTGAAAAAAACTGTAAGATATATAATATGTATACACCGACACGCAGTGCTGTCTTTAGCATTCTTTTTACTTTTGTGGTCTCTTTGTGGAATCTTGTTGTTCAGGTGTAACAGAAAGGAGTTTGGGAAATAAGAATGCAATCCAACACAGATTTCAGATCTATGCATTTATTTAATTTCCTCCTGCATCATGCAGCTGCTGACGCGGGCATTTACTGGAGCATTTCTGATATTAGGCATACAGTGCGTACAAAGACATCAGACACATTGGACAGGGGGCCATCAACGTTGCAGCTGAACATCAGGGACAAGAACACCAAGCTGATCTTGACCACAAGGCCCAGTCCACCAGTCAAACCCAAACTCCATGTCAACCCGCAAAAGGTTTGAGGTTAAAGGGTCTGTTCAGCCAAAAGTAATGTTTAAGTTGTTAGGGTTAGGGTTAACGTGTCTACAGAATTAAGTCATTTTCAGTTAGTTATTCATTTTGTAGAACCTTGCTGGTTTTATAATTTCCTTCAATTTTGGATAAATATGCCTTGAACAGCTTTGGCATCAGAAAGCGAGATGGATTATAATCCCAGAGAGCCGATGAATTAATACAGGGAACAGAGAGCTAGGATGTATAATCATCTCTCTAAAACACTGCTCCTTGTTTGATCACAACATATTAGCAAGTTCCCATGATATGCACTAAAAGAATCCACATGTACAGGATTCTCTGTTAGTTACATTATGCTTCTGATACGTGCACTTTGGAATGAACCTTCCCTTTGGAATGAACCTTGCCTATATTGTTAATAATATACAAAAAAAACTTGGTGCAATGTTAGATAAGGGGAGGTTCATGTTGACATTGTCCCATGTAGGAAAGTAAGGTCATAGTAAAAATAACATGACTGAATGAATTCACACCTGTTTTGGGTCCTGCTGTGCCTCATGTTCATGGAGACTCCATAGTTGCAACAGGGACTGGTTACCCTGAGTCATAGTGGGACTGGTTTCCCTCAGTGCGTAGTGGGACTGGTTCCCTCGGTACGTAGCAGGTCCTGCCATCCTGGATAACTTGAAGGTGTTTCCGTACATGGGGAACAAAGCCCCAGTGCAGAACATGGAGAGGCATTTTGTTGTCAGGATTGAGGAGGCCTTCTCCCTCAAGGCTGGTAAAGATGGTATAGAAGGGATCAAGTACGCAGTTAAAAGCGTCTCTCCAGAGCTTTTCTATTTTTATGGGGAAAGAAATAATTTAGTCTGCCTACAATGACAGTTCATTATAAGTCAGACCGGGCCAAATACGGCTCGCGGGATGATTCTGACCGGCCCGCGAAAGACTACGCGACTAGACTATGATTTAGATAAAAACAACATATTTTCTAACTAAAACCGCATTGCTTTTATTTTGAAGCCCATTTATTCTCACGGTGTACGCAATCGTGCACGTCAACTGTGCACGTGAAATGCGTGTGATTGACAACCTGTCTTCCCTCAGGGTCACCCCTGAACTCTCTACCTTCTGTTTCAAACAAAAATGGACTACTATTTCTTTCTTTACTGAAGTCAAAGGTAAACCTGTGTGTTTGGTTTGTGGGGAGCATGTCGCCGTGTTTAAAGACTACAATTTGAAACGGCTTTACGAGACCAAACATGGCGATAAATACAAAAACTTGACTGATGCCGAACGAGCGCGGATCAACGGATTTACTAGCAAAGCTATAAAAACAACACGGCTGTTTTACAAAGCTGCATGCAGCCAGAGATGCAGCGACCAGAACCAGCTTTGTGATGGCCCACAAAATTGCCCAGAACACTAAGCCATTCTCTGAGGGGCAGTTTGTGAAAGAGTGCATGGTCGAGTCTGCAGCACTGCTGCCCAGAGAAAAAAGAAGTGTTTAAAACATTCCGCTGTCCCGCCGCACAGTGATGAGGAGGGTGGAGGACATCGCGGAGAATCTGGAGTTTCAGCTGCAAGGAGTGTGAAGCTTCAACTTTTCTCTTTGGCTTTGGATGAAAGCTGTGACGTCCGTCACATGGCCCAGCTGCTCATATCGCCCCGGTAGATGACGAGCGACTTCAAGCTTACGGAAGAGCTGGCAGCAATGCGGCCAATGAAAGGAACCACAACGGGAAGTGATCTGTTCACCGAGGTAAACGCATGCATGGACAAACCCGGACTCCAATGGGACAGACTGGCAGGGGTCACCACGGATGGATGTCCCAATTTGGCTGGTAAGAATGTTGGGCTTTTGAAAAGAATGCAAGATAAAGTGAGTGAACTCACCACAGAGCAGAAATTGGTGTTCATACATTGTGTTATTCATCAGCAAGCGTTGTGTAAGTCGGTGCTTAAACTTAGGCATGTGGTTGATGTTGTTACTACAACAGTTAATTTAATCGGAGCGCGAGCATTGAATCACAGGCAGTTTGTTTCACTATTGGAGGAGTAAGAGAGCGAACATGGTGATGTCCGGTACCACACAGCTGTCACATGGCTCAGTCTGGGAAAAGTGCTAAAAAGGTTTTGAGTTCTGAAATCAGAGATAAAAGAGTTTTGTGAGATGAAAGACAAAACCATCCCAGAGCTGTCTGATAAGGACTGGATGGCAGATTGAACATTTGCTGTTGATGTGACTGCAGTGATGAATGAACTGAACACACAGCTGCAGGGCGAGGGCCTTTTTGCTCATGAAATGCACATCCATGTGAAAGCCTTCGTGACAAAGTTGCAATTCATTTCAAGGCAACTAGGCAGCAACAATCTCAAACGCATGAAAACCCTGAAAGAAGTCAAACCATCATCTGATCTCATCCATGTTAGGAGCACTGCGTGATGAATTTTCAAGGCGTTTTCAAGATTTCAAAAAGGTTGAGGATGAAATGCAGCTGGTTTCCTCTCCCTTTACCTGCAGTGTTGATAGTGCACCCACTAACGTTCAGCTTGAACTCACTGACCTGCAGTCTGATTCACTACTGAAAGAGCACTTTAAGTCAGCATCACTGCCAGAGTTCTACTCTGCTCTCAAGGAGGAGAACTTTCCAAACATGAGGAGACGTGCTCAGAAGATGTTGGTTCTCTGTGGATCTACCTACATATGTGAACAGACATTCTCAGTCATGAAGTTTACCAAATCCAGGTACAGATCCTCTCTCACTGATGAACATCTGTCAGCTGTGCTTCGCATCTCCACCTCTGACATTCAACCTGACTTTGATGGACTTGTTACAGCTCCACAGAGACTGGATTTCTCACACTGAATGAGAAAAGAAGAACTGAAGAACACAAAAATGTGGGAATATAACAAGTAAAATGGGACACTTGATATGCTTCTTTTCTTTTTTTGCACAGTTCTGAAAATGTTTTAATACAGGCATGTAAAGTCAAAAAGGCTACGAAACTGGGACTGGGACTGATGATGTGATGTCTTTAGAAAGCTAAGAAAATCCTTGTTTCAATAGTATATGAAACTGAAAATGCCCTTTGTTATTAATGTGACTGAAAATGAGTCAAATGTTTCACATTTTGAAAATTATATTTGAATAAATTATACTTTTGAAAGCCAACCTCACCTTTGAATTGCCAAATAATAACATACACTCTTACCAGCGGTCAAAACAAGAGTGACAGCGAGATCCTCCTTGTGGCAGTGGCAAGTGGGTGGCAACTTTGTGACAGGCAGCGGCAATCGCCAGTAAATCAGTCGGCGTCACGACGGCACGCTGGGTGGGAGGAGCCAATTTTTCCCAGAAACAACTGTTATTTGTACGACAGGTCAGCTGCTGTAAATATTTAATTTTATTTAATTTTATTTAATTTTATTTGAGACACGTGAGCCCCCGTCTTCTTATTACAGAGGCTAATTTTAGGTTTGGACCGGCGGGTTCCGTGTAGGGGGTGGGGCTCTCAAGTTTGATGCCACCCACTTGCCACTGCCACAAGGAGGATCTCGGCCTTACTGCAAAACAATGCCATTTACTGCTTTTAATATAGAAAAAAATGTATATTATGCATAATTGAGTTCGGCATTTTGGCCTGGCCCTCCAAAATATTTTCAGTTTCTCATTTGGCCCCCTGGGAAAAATAATTGCCCACCCCTGTTATAAGTGTTAATCTCTTAAAAAGGATAAGATGGCTGCCTGCCACTTAAAATCTTCTTTAGCAAAGCTAACCACCAGTAGGTGACAGAATACGTGTATTTAAACCATATATTTAATTTTATTTAATTGTGAGTAACTTATTTATCTAGGTTATTAAATATGTATTTAATGCTGTTTATTTCCATTACATTACATTACATGTCATTT